GAGGGGCAACCGGGACAGAATCTGGCACCCCAGCCGGCACTAGAACCTGGTGTGCTGGCACCACAGGCTGAGGATTAGCCTATTGAGCCGCGGCGCCGGCCCCTCAACACTGTTTTATCCCAATTCACTGTCACGTCTTAGTGCTTTTCCTCATAATGCTTTGGCTGCTTGGAACACCTATGCTTTCCTTTTTAATCAGTGGAAATCATTCCCAGCTTTCATTCTCAGCTTTTCTGAGTGGCTCACTTTGGGATTTTGCTCTACCCGTATCATATCAGTTGTATCACTACAGCTTGTTCAAATGCCTGTCTTTGTCATTGGTGAAGGTGGGTGACTTACTTTTGTGGCCCTCATGATACCCATACTCCACTGTACAGGTGGGCACATTGAGAAAATGCTGACAATATCAGAATCATCTATGTTCCTTGTATATGATCTTCCCACACATGAAATACTGTAAGAATTTAAAGGGATATTTAAGTACCTGTACTCACTGAAGTTGTGATTTGTCCAGTGATTCGTAAAGCTTTTATTGCACTATTGAAGTCATATTTTTGAATTTTGACATATTCATATATTTATAATTTTCAGAGTAGCAGTGTCACATTTGGGTGATGTGTTTAGCATTCATTTTGCAGTTCCCAGTTTGACCTGTATGACTTTGTTAGTTATAGAAAGGGAGATGCTTTATGTAAGAAGTGCTCTTTAGCCTGCCAAAAATTCTAATAATTTCATTGGAATCATTTATCGACCACAGTTTCATAAAACAGTTATTTCATCATTTTTGCTGTGAGAATGCTGCACCTAAATCTCATAAAGTTATCATTTAAATTATTAAGGGGTTCAGCAGTTGGTGTTGTACAAAATACTTAGGGCTAACTAGAGTAAGATATGTGTCAAGTCATATGCCTAACATTCCTGATGGATTTCAATATGGGGTATTTTAATTCATAAGAGCTGTGGCAGTAATGTGTAGCACTTAACAAGATTTATTGCACCTCTGTATTCGACATGGAAGCCTGCAGCATGGTGCCACAGATATTGATAGCAACGTTCATCAAATCTATTTCTATTTTAAAATCTAATAGGAAATACATCTTACCATTTAATATCACTGTATCACTTTGACTTAATTGGCTACATTAAGAAACTTGTATCTTCTGTTTATTTTTTAAAAACTAAGCTAAACTCCATGTTTATGGGGAGGACAATTAAAAATGGAACCACATGTGTCTTTTAGAGCATTGTATTTCCCACTTTATTCTGCTATTGTTGACTTTTATCCGGTTAATGTTATTGATGTATTTTCCATATCAGGAAAATATGGTAGGAGGGAAACAACACACTATAGTAAGTAAAACATTAAACATAAGTCAGAACCTTTGACCATTTTTCCCCAGTGCAATTCATATTCTTAAATTGTATTAGAACTGTTTATATGCATGTATATGTCTTTGTGTATACATGCATACATACATATGGGTGTATTTATATATGAAAGTACATGAGATTTTTCATTTGTCTCCAAGAGTGTGCACCTGGGTCGCCACTGCTGCCCTGGAAGCTCTGCCTACAGAGAAGTCGTCTTCCTCTCCTGCTCTTTTGAGATCTGCTCTTCCCACGTGTAGCAGCTGAACGCTGCTGTACAGCAGGTTGTACTCTAGGGTCTGGAGCCATCGCAGTGAACAAGGCATCTGAGACCTGTGCCCACAGAGAGTTTACATTCCATGGAGGGAAAGCAGCAAAGACAAACCAAAATGAGTGAAATAATTATGTATCATTTACCATATGTAAATAGAAAGCCAAGTAAGCAGAGTGGAGATGGCATTTATGCAGACTTGAAAAAGATAGGGAAAAGAGACCACGCGTACGAGGAGGGTAGAATTCCTGATGGAGGAGACAGAGAGGAAAAAATGTGAAGAGCTTGCCAGTAGGTTGAAAGCAGAGCAGAGAACAAGCATGACTAGAGGAGGGATAATGACAGGCACAGTCGTACCAGAAGTGCTATGTGTGGTGAAATATATTTGTTAAGGACCTCTGGGCTCTTACAGTTTTGGGAAAGAAGTTTTAGAGAGCCTATCTCAGGCAGCTTAGTGAAGTTACAGAATGGTAACAAGTGATCGTTCCATCTCAGTGACTTTATGACAAGCATGCATTCCTTACAGTGCACATACACCACTTAGCTCTGCCCCACAAGCATCCCTCTTATATAAAGTCCCAGGGAGAATCCTATGCTACGACATAGCAGTTCCTATGGCAGATGGAACAGGGGCACTATGGCCAACGACGTGTTGGCTTTGGAAGACTCTCTCCAGAAATGACACAAACACTCTGTGCTACTGTAGTGTTGTCCAGAGCACGCCATGTGATGAAACCCGGAATTAGTGGGCAGGGCAATATGATCATTGTCTCGAGGGGAGCAATGGCTATTTTTGAACATCGACACCATTTACCACAGGGCCATTGGAGAATATGGGGTGCAGAAGTGACACAATCTGACGTGGTGTTTTAAATGATTTCAGTGCTAAGACAAGACTGCTGTAGCAAGAGAAGACCAGAAAGGAAGAGACCAGCTGGCAAATTATTCCAGCAACTCAGGTGAAAGATGATGGCCTTGACTAGGCTGTTAGGAGATGATGATAAGTGGATCAATTCCAGGTACAGATTGAAGGTAGAGACAATAAGACTTACTATTGTGAGAGAGATGGAGGCTTTGGGAATACTGGAGCAAAGTTGGAGTTTCCAGTAACTTGGATGGGGAAGTCAGTAGGTGGAGGAAGATTTGGGAGAAGAAAATTAGGGACAAAATAAATTGAAGTATTTTTTGTTCACGAAAAAAAGTAGGTGGAAATCATGTATCAGATATTGTAGTCCCTTTTAAGGAAGCTGTCTTAGAACACTAACAAAATAAATGAGTAATTTTCATAAAAAGGCATATAATGACTTGATACTTGGAAGGACTTAAAGTACAGCAGGTAAAAAGGCATAAAAAATTTCAACTCACTGGATGTCTTGATGAGTTTACTTAGAGGAAGTTTCCAAAGATAGGTTGGTCTAACAACTCTAGGTGAAAGTAGGGAATTGCAGACTTTAGATTACTGGTTTACCCTGCATAATTTAAGGAGTGGCAAGACTTTTATTGATGTTGAAAGCTTTTCTTGAAAGGGCATGTAGGCCTAAAAAAAGGCCAACCTTTAAAGTGGTGCACAAATTAGGAACAAAAATTTGAGTGTCAAATACAAGAAAATGACATCAAACCTGTCATTCCGTGCCTAATGTTTGTGTAAGCATACTTCCACTTATTCTTTTATCTGAACATCTAGAATCGTGTTCCCAGGATATTTAGTTAGTTAAGGGTCAAAGCACCATCATTTTCTTTGTGTGCAGGATGACTGTAAAATAATAGCTCTATGAATAAAGCAGTGTGAAATCTATATTTCCTTTCCATTGTGAAACCTCATCTTATTTATAGGGAATTGCTATAGGTGCAATTATGCTAAAAAAGGGTGTTTTAGATTAAGTAAATTGACCACATTGCCTTACTGTCTCCCAGATTTTTATTTCAAAAGTACTTTCTTCTTTGAATGTAACTCCAGTCAGAATGACTCAGTGTGGGTAATTTAGTTGCTCTATAATCATCATATATTTTAGTTTCATTACTGTTCCTGTAAGATAGCAAATATTTCAGTTTAAATCTCTACAAGCTTTGGAAAGTCTTAATTTTTTGCACCTAATGGTTTATGTATATATAATACCTGTCAATATAAAATACTACCAGAGAACAAAACCACAATTCATTGATTACCAATTCCTAGTTACCTCTCTCTGCTTGCCATTACTGACTTACTAAGCTTAATTTAACTACTACAATAGATTTATAAGTACGAGTATAGTTTATAAGTAATGAGTATAGATTAGGTCTCTAACTAGCACTCTGTGGATTAAAATGCATATTGAATATATTTAAAGCCTAAAGAAACTATTTGGGGAAAAAGAGGGGTGGGCAGTAGAGGTGGAATCATAGAATTTATATTTGTGGAAAAATCAAAAGAAGAGTCACATGCACTACTCTGGAAGTTGAAATATTGAAATTCTCTTTATGATTTGAGCAATTGTTTTTTGAGATTTTTTTTCCTTTTAATTTAATAAATCAGAAAAATAGATGTTTGGAATGTCTGCTGTACTGTGATTCCTGCCATTCAAGACAAATCATTTAGTGCTTTCTATTGCTATCTAAGAGGACAGAGAGTTATATTGATGAGCTATAGTTTTAAAGAACTATTTTATTTATTTGAAAAGCAGAGTTTCAGAGAAAGACAGGGAGAGAGGTCTTCCATCTGCTGGTTCACTCCCTAATTGGCCACAACAACCTGGGCTGGGCCAGGCCAAATTGAGGAGCCAAGAGCTTCTTCCAGGTCTCCCATGTGGCTGCAGGGTCCCGAGCATTTGGGGCATCTGATTTCCCAGGTGCATTAGCAGGAAGCTGGACCGGAAGTGGAGCAATTGGGACTTTTTACTCGCTAAATCATAGTCCCGGCCCCTGTTGTGCTACATTGTGTAGGAAACGAATGACAAGAAAAAAGTGTATACATAGTCAATGCAGATGCAATTACAAAAAGCAACATTAATCAAAAAAATTATTTTCCCATTCCTGGTGGGTTGAACTGATGGATCTGAAGCCAAAGGACACAAGGGGCCGAGTCTATGTGTGAGTGCACTAATCATCACCATTGTCATGACTTCTGCTTCTTTGCTGAACACTTATGAAAATAATTCACAGCATATTCTATAATATATAATCAAAAAGCACTTGGATTGGTTGTTTGGAAACTTTAATTGTCCGTAAATGTAAAAGGATGCCAGAATTTAGCCCTAGTTATTAATGAAAGTCTGGGCAAGTCAGACTTCATAGCTCACCACAATTACTCATAAAGTCTCCCTACACTGGACCCCATCCAACATCACTCTCTCCTCCATCCCCACCTTCTGCTGCGTTCCAGGTGCTGTTCCTATGTGGGGCGAAGGGGAAATGGACCTCAGGCAATCTCCATTGGCAAGAACTGTGATAAATTTGGAATTGTTGTTCACGAGTTGGGTCATGTGATAGGCTTTTGGCACGAGCACACGCGGCCAGATCGAGATAACCATGTAACCATCATAAGAGAAAACATCCAGCCAGGTGAGAGACTTTCCAGGGTGTGTGTGGTTTAAGTCTGCGTAGATAGCATTGAATTATAGTTATGCCGTTCACCATTGCACATCTCATAAGAGTGGAATTCTTGTTTTAAACTTGGTAGAAGCCACATTTCACTTGTTTAAAAATTACCTGTATTGTTTTCATACTTTTGCTCTTTTCCCTAGAGACTAAATCATCTCATGCATTTTTTAGACTTTTTTTTTTCTGTTTCTTGCTTAAGATGTACCTCTATCATTTCTAAACTTCAGTGTTTTCAAGATTGGGTGTGAAATATTGAACCATAAATTCATATTAATTTTTAATTTAAGCAGTTTTTGTACTTAGTTCTATCATTTAAAGCGTGGGGACTTATAAAAGGGCCGGGGGTTGCCATTAAATGTGCTGCTACTGTAGGAATTTTCATTTTATCAGGTATAATTTCTGGAGAAAAATCCAGTGTAAATGAGTCATTTCCAAGATAGTCTAGATGGTGTATTTGAGGTTTTCCTCTTAAATGTGACTGCCCTAGATTCAAATTCTTTGAGACTGTTTTTAATAGTTGAAATGAAATTTATGATTAATCCAGTATTCTCTAACAATGGTGTGTGATAATAACCTCCCTAGAGAGCTTCGGATTGGTTTAACTTTACCTTTCATAAGATGGGTGCATTTCAGTTGCCCCCAAAAATAAAATTTCCCATTGTGAATGGTTTTCTCATGATATGCGTGACTTGCCTAAGCAAAATGAATTCTTAGCTTCCTTATTCATGTCCACTTGTAATTTACAAACACACTGAATTCCTTCGAATTGTCTTCCGTTAACAGCATTGATCTTTCTATTTGCTTATTGAGTATTGGATGCCAGCTGTTTGTGGAGGTGCTGTTTGGGATTGGAGATGGTGTCTAAGGTGTAGGCATGGAGGCAGATGACCGGGAGTGAGTGAGAAAACTAACAAGAGGCTTAAGTTGAGATTAATGTGTCGTCCAGGCAACATGTGAAAACCTGCATCTTGGCACCTCCAGAGAGATGCCACAGAATGGCTGAGATTTATAGGTCAAGTAGAAATGTCCAAGTTGAATAGAAGAGTGAGGAGATATCCAGGCTGAAAGGACACGAGCATCAAAGCTACAGTTATGGAAAATCAAACCCTTTCCTCCTGTCTAGTACGGCTGCATGGGAAGTCAAAGTGGAGTGTTTAGTTGGTAACGACTGAGGTTGGGTGGGTGATCCAGAGAGCACCCTCTGAGTACTGACGAGGAACTGAAGGATCGTATAGGGAGCACGTTCAGAATAAACAGCAGGAACTCTGTTGGCTGGAGGAAGCATTATGGGGCTGGTGAGGGTGAAGTCGGGGAAACCTGTGAGAAGCCTTAGTCGCGTGGGGGAGGTGGATGCCCTTTGTGTTCTAGTACAGGGCAAGATGAGCGAGAGGAACTCCTACTTCAGAAATATTTAAGAGGAACAACATCGCGTGAGGGAAATCTTCAGAAGTTCGTTCTTAGGCCCCAAGAAGAAGGGTGAAACTATCAGATGAAACAAGAAATACTAATAGAGCAGCATGTTTTTAAAGAAGAGAAAAACAGTGATTTCATTTAGCATTTTTTTTTTTTTAATTTGAGAAGCCCTTGGATGATGATGGTTTAGTAGACAAAGAGAAGGTGAATGAGGACCTCGGCAGGTGTCTAGCAATACAAATGTGGTCGGGAGTTGCCTATTTAGGACGATACTGGAATGAGAAGAAAGAAATTGAGGGGCCAGCGCTGGGGTGTAGTGGGTAAAGCTGCTGCCTGCAGTGCCGGCATCCCATATGGGCACTGGTTCAAGTCCCAGCTGCTCCACTTCCAATCCAGCTCTCTGCTATGGCCTGCGAAAGCAGTAGAAGATGGCCTAAGAGCCTGGGCCCTTACACCCGTGTGGGAGACCCTGAAGAAGCTCCTGGCTCCTGGCTTCGGATCAGCCCAGTTCTGGCCTTTGTGGCCATTTGGGGAGTAAACCAGCAGCTGGAAGACCTCTCTGTCTGTCTGTCTGTCTGTCTCTCTCTCTCTCTCTCTCTGTCTCCGCCTCTCTGTAACTGACTTTCAAGCAAAACAAATTCATCTTTTAAAAGAAATTGAGGATACAAAATAGAGAACAATGGTATTTAAGCAGAATTTGGAGAATTTGGTGGACTATTTACCAAAAGGGTAAGAATGTTATCTCAAAAATAAGAGAGACAGAGATAGAGGGAGGAAGGAAGTGTTACTGTATTATCAGAATTGTGTCTGTGAACTACATGAGCCCATTCTCTATTAGTGTCACATTAAAACGAGAATTGGTGAGTAGAAAGAAAGTGAGAGAAAACTCAGTGGAATATGATAGCCGTTGCAAAAGGGCGAATCCTTTCAGAACGGTGAAGTAACCTGCAGAATTGGGTATGGAAGGTAAGTAAGAAAAAGAATGAGACTCCTTAGCTGAGAATCTGACGCCTGAGCCAAACAGCCAGGTTCATCTTATATTTTTCATCATTAAGAAGGACGTAAAGAGGAAACAGTATTTTTGAAAATTGTCTCAGCTACCAAGTCAATGAGAAGTTTGTTGTTAAGCAGGTGTTAGTTTTCCTGTATTTGCCAAACATTTTGTTATATTGACAAAAAAAAAAAAAAAGCTCATAATGAATGCAACTTCCAAAAATGGTTCTTACACTTAAATAGAATTTTGATTCAATATAAATATGTATCCAAATAGAGGAAGAGATGTACATGGTACTTCAGAGTGTCCATTGAAGGATGTTTACTGGGGCCTGTGTTGTGGTGTAGTGGTAAAGGTGCCAGCAGTGCCAGCATCCCATATGGGTGCTGGATTGAGTCCCGGCTGCTCCACTTCCAATCCAGCTCCCTGCTAATGTGCCTGGAAAAACAGTGGAAGACAGCCCAGGTCCTTGGGCCCCGGCACCCCTGTGGGATACCCAGATACCCAGAAAAAGCTCCTGGCTCCTGGTCTAGCGCTGACTGTTGCAGCCATTTATAGAGTGAACCAGTAAATGAAAGACCTTTCTTTGCTTCTCTCTCTCTTTATCTATCTCTGTAACTCTGCCTTTCAAATAAATAAATAAATCTTAAGAAAAAAAAGATAGGTTTCTTCTGGTGCCCAAAATGTTACAATCTATGCATAGTTCTTGTATAACATGCATTCTTCATGAAGTTATTTTGAAGATCCCTCATGTACATGGATTTCAGTTTTTTGGTACCAAAATAAACACATATTTCAATTCTATTTTCTATGAACTTTTTGAAGTACCCTAGTATAAGTAGTATAAATAAATTTATAATACTTAACACAATGCTAGAAAAATTATGACTCTTACTAGGTTTTTGACTAAACATTCTGGCTAACAGAAAAAAAAATTACTGTGTGAGATTTCCTGTAATTGGAACCATGATCAGCAATTCCAGTATAAAAGCGTTCATGTTGGAGACTGATCTTCAACAAATTTATGACTTGCTGTGACTCAGAAACTTAAAATCAAATGTTATTCAAGTAGAGTATCCAATAAGCAAAAACTTTGGCTTCAAATTTATATGCACAAGAGATGACTATGAGAGTACTAAATTGGTATGATAATTAGATTTATTTTAATTTGCATCAGAATGTGCATATAAAGAGGGATGTCTTTAAAATTTTTGAATTATTAAGTATAGTTTTCCATGTTGCTCTGTATCTCTGACTTTCTCCTTTCCTTCATGACGTAGGTCTAAGTTTCTCTTATTTGGACTGTGTAGGCCCATGTCCTTTTTAACTAGCAGGAAAAAAAAGCCTCATGTACGTGTTAAGTGCTCAGTTATGGGCTTGGAATGTGCAACTATTGCTATAGTTACTGAATGTTCTACTTTCAAAAATTTTGTGAAGCATTTCTTGTTGATCAGAGAGCCTTTTTCCATATTGTGCTCTATACTGAAATCTTGAAAGTTTATAATTATAAAATCAGATCCACAGCGCTTTAAAATTTCCACCTTATAATTGGATATGTTAAAAAAAAGGTTCAAATTCTATGGAGATCACAGTTGTAACAATTGTTCCTCTCAGGGTTGGGGCGAGAGCAGCGTATTCCCTAAGAATGGTTTTAACACACGAAGACATATCAGAGGTTTGAGGAGCACACATTTCAGTTTACAGGCTGGCTGGTGAAGTCAGAATCATTTACCATGTGAAATTATTCAGATATGGTTTAAAATACATTACACTGAGAGGCAGGCTCTGTAACTACAGCTTGAGTCTCTAACCTTTAGTGTTCAAATGCATGTTCCCAGGCTTCCCTATCACAGGGAGGAGAGACCTTGTATTCTAGGACATCACTCCATTTCTTTAGTACCTTTTGGAAAACTATTAATGTGATATTATTTAATACAAATATTGAAGTTAGAATGCTCAATCAAATGAGCGATGTAATAGTCCCCTTTTGAGATCCAGGCATGAATTTGGAATTCCAATAGTTCACTTTTATACTTTCTCAAAGCTCTTTAGGTTACATAAATAGTATGTCATGCACCATCTTTTGCTGTTTATTTTTTATTTTTTTAAATACATATTTCTAGCTCTAAAGTCATATTGATTTTTTAAAAATATTTATTTATTTATTTATTTGAAAGGCAGAGTTACAGAGAGAGAGAGAGAGAGAGAGAGAGGGAGAGGGAGAGAGAGGTGTTCAGTCCACTGGGTCACTTCCCAGATGGCCACAGCAGACAGAGCTGGGCTGATCTGAAGCCAGGGAGCAGGAGCTTCTTCCAGGTCTCCCACGTGGGTGCAGGGGCCCAAGGACCTGAGCCATCCTTTACTGCTTTCCCAGGCCATAGCAGAGAGCTGGATCGCAAGTGGAGCAGCCAGACTCAAACTGGCGCCCATTTGAAATGCCAGTACAGCAGGCGGCGGCTTTACCCACTATGCCACAGCATCAGCTCCTTTGGCTGTTGAAACTGCAGAAATTGAGTCATTGAAATCTGAAGTCAACAAGAAGCAATTCTTTGTTCTAGAACCATCAATGTAGATTCATATATTTATCTCTCTTTTTTTTTTTCAGTTTTCAAGAAATAATACTGCTTGGCAGATACAAACAGGCAGTTGAAAAAAATCTGTTAAAAATGAAGTTAAAATAACATGTGAAAAGTAAAACAAAAACTCCCTTAGTTCTTATTCGTATTCTTTTTTTATATATAAAGATTTACTTATTTACTTGAAAGTGAGAGTTACACAGAGAGAGACGGAGAAGCAGAGAGAGAAGTCTTTTTTTTTTTTTTTTTGACAGAGTTATAGATAGTGAGAGAGAGAGACAGAGAGAAAGGTCTTCCTTCCATTGGTTAACCCCCCCCAAATGACCGCTACGGCCAGCACTGCATTGATCCGAAGCCAGGAGCCAGGTGCTTCTTCCTGGTCTCCCATGGGGTGCAGGGCCCAAGCACTTGGGCCATCCTCCACTGCCTTCCCGGCCACAGCAGAGAGCTGGACTGGAAGAGGAGCAACCGGGACAGAATCCCGCACCCAAATGGGATGCTTATGCCGCAGACGGGAGGATTAGCCTAGTGAGCCACACACCAGCCCCCAAGAGAAGTCTTCCATCCACTAGTTCACTCCCAAACTGGCTGCAATGGCCAGAGCTGTGCCGATCTGAAGCCAGGAGCCAGGAGCTTCTTCCAGGTCTCCCACGCGAGTACAGGGGCCCAGGCACTTGGGCCATCTTCTACTGCTTTCCCAGGCCACCACAGAGAGAGCTGGATTGGGAGAAGAGCAGCCAGGACTCGAACCAGCACCCATATAGAATGCCAGCACTTCAGGCAGCGGCTTTACCTGCTACACCACAGCGACAGTCCCCTGTCATATTCTTCTGGATCAAAAAAGTCTTTCCAAATAGAAATGTCTTTTCATAAAAGAGAGCCTTGTTTCATTTTTGAATGAAAGTAGATTTCCGGTTGTTTTATCTTTAATGTTGAAGTCACATTGCTAAACCAAGCAGTTAGTCTAATATATACTAATATTGTTCCTACACCTTTTCACAGTGTTTCATAGAAAGGATCTAAAATTCCAAAGCAAGAAGAAGATAATTTTTATGGGCCCTGGCAAGTACAGTCATAAGAGAAAAGTGACAAATTCATTGGATAAAAATCCAACTCTTATTATGATTTGTACAGTATCTCAAAAAGCAGCAAGATTTTAAAGAAATGAATATTGTGAGGTAGTAAAAGAGCATACGTCAAAAACATACAAAGTTTGGTTTTGTCAGTGTTTTTGCCGAGATAAAGTCATTAACCCATTCTTTCAGTAGGAGCTCGAGTGAAAACCTCTGCCCTTGGCACATGCGCCCGGCTGAGAGTGTAAGTGGAGCCAGCAAGGAGACGGGTCATTTAATGAAGAGCAGATGCGAGTCGAGGGAGGGCTGTGGTGCTCTCCCCTCTTCCAGGCTTCTGAGATTCTGTTTGTCCCTGATCCTTAGGTCAAGAGTACAATTTTCTGAAGATGGAACCCGGTGAAGTGAACTCACTTGGGGAAAGATACGACTTTGACAGCATCATGCACTATGCCAGGAACACCTTCTCAAGGTTGGACTCTCAGGTTATACCTTTTGACTTTTAATTCCTTCCCTCCATGTAGCTCCTCTCAAAGCTATGTTTCACATTAGAATGAGAATACCTTTCAAATGTTGCTGCTCTATGGCAGAAATAAACCAAGCAAAATAAATAAAAAATCATGGTTAAGAATATAGCCAACAACAGACATTTTAATGACATATTACAACACATTTTTGCCTTTCCTATCAAATATATACATTTGAAGTGATAGGATATTATCAAGGATTTAAAGTATATTTTAATTATTTTAAAAATGTCAATTAAAATCATGACCAAACCAGTCCGTGTATTAAACTGCCAAAGTGTAGTGTAGTGAAAAGTCAAATGGTTTACTTGGTTGCTGCGTTGGAATGTCACACTCTGCATGCAACTCCGGTTGGATACTGTGCATTTTCAGTGGCTCGAGTACCACCAATGCTCAAGAAAGACTATTACTCAATGAATTCTAAGACAACAAGTTAAGAAGATATTTTTCTTCATATAGTTTTCAGTTATCGTTCATTAATTATTAACCTTAGGATTCTTTCATTAACTGAATACTCTTTTTAAAGAGTGAAATAAACTTGGGTTTTGATCCACTTCATTCTAAAGATGATGGCATCCAGGAAATAGTTGCCAGGTAAGGAATTCGGAGCTGTAAAACCACTGAACTCACCCATTCCCTTGGCACACTCAGGCTCATTTTACCCTCCTACATCCATTTCTATTCACTCTTTTGCCCAGTTACATCCATCTCACAGTTCATTAACAACTGTTTATGAAGGCAGGCTCAGGAAGGAAAGAAAACGTCAAATGTGTTCAATAAAAGATTTTTGGCAAAAAGGAGAGAAGGATGTGTTAATGAGCCCTTTGTACTTGGACGCATTTTAGAATCATTCTTTTATAAAAACCCAAACTTTGAAAAAAAAAAAAAAAGTGAGGGTTGACTGTGCAGTGTATGTTGAAAACTTCATGGAAACTGGAATTAAAAGATAAGTTTGTTTTGTTGTAAGGACATTTTAAAATTCATATATAGTTTTTTCACAATATGCATTTTCCGTGAACTTTATGAAACCCTTTTATTTTGAAAACCATTCTCCTCTGAAGTATATGTTTCACATATATATACACATAAATATGTATGTATATGTATATATGCATGTGCATGCATATATAATATATGCATGTATATATATCTTTGTTAAAATATAATAACTATCCCCATGCTTATTGTTCCTGGAATTTGAATTTAGGATTTGGTAAAAATGACAGTCAGAAATTTAGCCTGCAATTATTCTTAAAGAATAATAAAATTTTTAGTTTCAGACCAATGTTTGGAAGGGAGTTTTCCATAGAGATGTGAAAGAAATGAACATTTGGTCCAAGTTTAGACAAGACTGCTCTCTTATGCTGCTGAATTCAGTTACTTAGAATTAACCTGAGGTTTGATTATTTGGAAGACAGGAAGTAGCAAAGAGTGCAGAAAATAATGAACGCTTCCTGTTCTTCAGAAATGCTGAGTCTTTCCTGAACTTGGAACTTGTCTGCTTTGCCTTTCCGCCTGGCTGTTTTCTCCATATACCACTCTTCTCATGCTGCCTGCTGCTGTCTCCTCCATCATCTGCCTTTGTGTTGTGTGCCAACCAGCTTTGACTTTTTTTGTAAGATTTATTTATTTATTTGCAAGTCAGAGTTACACAGAGGAGAGGCAGAGAGAGAGAGAGAGAGAGAGAGAGAGAGAGAGAGACATTGAGATTGGTCTTCCATATGCTGGTTCACTCCCCAATTGGCTGCAATGGCTGGAACTGCGCCGATCCAAAGCCTGGAGCCAGGAGCTTCTTCCAGGTCCTCATGTGGGTGCAGGGGCCCAAGGACTTGGGTCATCCTCCACTGCCTTCCCAGGCCATAGCAGAGAGCTGGATCGCAAGTGGAGCAGCCGGGACTTGAACTGGCACCCATATGGGATGCTGGCACTTCGGGGCAGGGTGTTGACCTGCTGCGCCACAGCACCGGCCCCCAGTCTTGACTTTTTATTCGATCAAATTGATTCAAAGTTATGCTACTCATTTTTTCATAAATAAACAGATTTCTGTAGTTCAAAAGACCTTATAGTAGGAAAGATAATATCTGATTGATCCTCACTCATATTATTTTATAAACTGGAGTCTTTAAAGTGGGTGTTTGGGGACCAGCGCTGTGACGTTGTAGGCTAAGCCTCCACCTGCAGTGCTGACATCCCGCATGGGTACCAGTTGGGTCCCGGTTGCTCCATTTCTGATCCAGCTTTTTGCTAATGGCCTGGGAAAGCAGTGGAAGATGGCCCACATGCTTGGGCCCCTACACCCACATGGGAGACTCGGAAGAAGCTCCTGGCTCCTGGCTTCAGATCAGCCTAGCTCCGGCCATTGCAGCCATTTGAGGCATGACCCAGTGGACGGAAGATTCCTCTCTCTCTGTCACTACCTTTCTCTCTATGTAACCCTGCCTCTCAATTCAATAAATAAATCTTCCAAAAAGAGAGGCTGCTTATTGACATATGTAATTGATTTCAGGTAATGAAGCATTTGTCACAGTTCTCAGTCCTTCCTCCACATAATAAAACCTTATGATTTTAAACCTTTAAAAATATTTATTTATTTGTAAGGCAGAAAGAAAAAGAGGGAAAAAAAAATCCTTCCACTGGTCACTGCCCCAGGGCTGGAATTGGGCTGGGAGTGAAACCGGAAACTTGTCAATCCAGGTCTGCGGGAGTGGCAGAAACTCCGTTCCTAGAGCCATCACCACTGCCTACTAGGATCTGCTTTAGCAAAAAGCCTAAGTCAGAAACCAGACCTGGAAATCAAATCAGTCACTCTGATGTGGGAGGTAGGCACCTTAACCACTAGACAAACACCAGCTCCTCCTTGGCCATTTTTACGTATAGAGTTTAAAGTGTTAAGTATATTCACAGTTGTGAAACATTTCTAGAACACTTTCGTCTGCAAACTTGAAGCCCTGGTACTCATTAAACAGCAACTTCCCATTCTCTCTCTCCAGCACCTGGCAATCACCAGTCTGCTTTTTGCTTCTGTGGACTTCATTACCTTAGATACCTTGTATAATTGGAACCATACAGAGTGTGTCCTTTTGTGACTTGCTTATTTCCCTTAGCATTATTTCCTCTAAGTTCATCCATACTGTAGCATACGACAAGATTTTCCTCTATAATAATGATGACTAATACTTGATTGTATAATCACATTTTATGTATGCCTTTGTCCATCAACAGACATTTGAGTTATTACCACTCGTTGACAACTGTGAATAGTGCTGCTGTGGGACATGTGTGTGTAACTATTCCTCAGAGATCCTTCTTTCTATTCTTTAGCACTATCTAAGCTGACATGAGATGCTGGTTCATGTAGTAGTTCTTATTTGAAAGGCAGAGAGAGAGAGAGAGAGAGAGAGAGAGAGAGCAAGTGCTCTATCTTGCAACCACTGGTTCATTTCCTAGGTGGCTGCAGAGGCCAGAGCTGGTCCAGGCCAAAACCAGGAGCCTAGAACTCCATCCAGGTCTCCCACATGGGTTCAGGGGCCGGAGGACTTAGGCTGTCTTTTGCTGCTCTCCCAAGCGCATCAATAGGCAGCTGAATTTGAAGTGAGGCCACCAGGATCCGAACTGACACCCATGTGGGATATTGGCATCGCAGGCAGTGGCTTAACCCACTGTGCACATTGCTGACCCCAGTGGCATTTCTACTTTTAATTCTTCAGGAACTTGCACACTTTTCTCATGGTGGTTGCACCATTTAACATCCTGCTAACGGTTTATAAGTTCTAGCTTTCTCTATGTCCTCACCAACACTTGTTTTCCTTTGTTTTGATAATTTCCATCACAAGATTTATTTATTCATTTGAAAGTCAGAATGACCGGAGAGAGTGAGAGACAGAGAAGAGAGAGATCTTCTATCTGTAAGTTCAGTCCTCAAGTGACTGAAACAGCAAGAGGTTGGCCAGGCAGATGCAAGGGCCTAAGAAAGCCATCTGGATTTCCCATGTAGGTGGCGGGAACCCAAGTACTTGGGCCATCATCTTCTGCTTTCCAGGTGCACTAGCAGGGGGCTGGATTGGAAGCAGAGTAGCTGGGACTTGAACCAGGCATTCCAAGTGGCGACTTAACTTCCCATGCCATAATGACTGCCCCACATTTTGGTTTAGATTGACATTTTTGTGATCATTGATGCGCATCTTGTATTGATTAGCTGAACATGTTTTCAGATGCATGGCGGTCACTTGTGTGTCATTTTTGGAGAAATGATTACTCAAGTCCTTTGCCCAGTTGTTACTCAGGCTACTTGATTTGTTGTTGAGCTGTGAGAGTTCTTTGTGTATTCTGGCTCTTAACCACTTAATCTGATATATGATTTGCAAATATTTTCTGCCATTCCGCAGGTTACGTTTTCACTCTGGCGATTTTGTCCTATATGACCAAAATCTGTTAAGTTTGATTTCATCGTGTGTGGCTCTCTTTTTAAATATACTGTTGCCTTTTGATGTCATATCCAATAAATCATGACAGCCATGAAGCTTTCCCCTTATTTTTCCTTCTGGGAATTTATAGTTCAGGGTCTTATGTTTAGATCTGTAGTTGACTTTGAGTTAATACTTTTACATAGTATAATGGTGCAAATTCATTTCTTCTTCTTTTTTTTGGCTGTGGATGTTCAGTTTTTTGTCATCATTTGTAGAAAAGGCTGCCTTTTGGAATCCTTCTTGAAGAGAATTTGATTATATACATTAGTTTTTTTTGGGGGGGGGGTTCTCTACTTTATTTCATTGGTCTAGAGGTTTATCTTTATGCCAGTGCCATAATATGTTGATTACTGTAGCTTTGTAATATATTTTTGCTGGGGCTCTGGCATCCCATATAGGCACTGGTTTGTGTCCCAACCACACCTCTTCCGATCCAGCTCTCTGCTAATGGCTTGGGAGAGCAGTGGAAGATGGCCCAAGTGCTCAGCCACATGGAAGACCCAGAAGAAGCTCCTGGCTCCTGGTTTCAGATAGGCCCAGCTCTTGCCATTGCAGCCATGTGGGGTGTAAACCAACAGATGGAAGATCTCTCTGTCTCTCCCTCTGTCTGAAGCTCTACCTCAAATAAAATAATACAAAAAGACAATGTTGGAATTTTAATAGGGATTGTATTGAATCTATAGATTTATTTGAGTAATATTAAGAGCTTACTATTTAATTTTAAATCCAGGATCACAGGACCTTTCCACTTACTTATCACTTTAATTTCTTTCAGCAATGTTGTTTTAGTTTTCACTGTCCAAGTCTTTCGTTTCTTTGGTTGGGTTTACTTCTAAGTATTTGTACAATTTTTTGTCTTGATTTCCTTTATGGGTAACTCACTGTTGGCGTGTAGAAAGATAACTGGTTTTGTGTTTTGATTTTGCTAAATTCACATATTAGTTCTAACAGTTTTTTGTGGAGCATTTAGGGTGTTCTGTGTAAGACCATATCATCTGCAGATAGAGGTAATGTCTCCTACTTCCTTAATTTTAATTCTTCTTCTTCCTCTTCTTCTCCTCCTCCTCCTTCTCCTTAGTCTTCCTCTTCTTCTTCTCTTCCTCCTCCTCCTCTTTAGTCCTCCTCTTCTTCCTTTTTCTCTACTTCCTTCTTCTCTACTTCCTTCCCCTCTCTCTCACCTTCTTGTTCCCCCTCCTCCTCCCATCTTCTACCTTCTTTCCTAATTACTGTGGTCACAACATCCAGTACCAGGTTAAACAGAAGGGCTGAGAACAGGCATCCTTTGTTACTGCTCTTAGAGGAAAAGCTTTGTTTTTCACCACTGAATATGATGATAACCGTGGACTTTTCTTTTTTTTAATAAGATTTATTTATTTATTTGAAAGTCAGAGTTACACAGAGAGAGAAGGAGAGGTAGAGGTCTTCCATTCACTGGTTCACTCCCCAGCTGGCTGTAATGGCCAGAGCTGCGCCAGTCTGAAGCCAGGAGCCAGGAACTTCTTCCCGGTCTCCCACATGGGTGTAGGGGCCCAAGGACTTGGGCCATCTTCTACTACTTTCCCAGGCCACAGCAGAGAGCTGGATCAGAAGTGGAGCAGCCAGGACTCGAACTGGCGCCCACATGGGATGCTGGCACGGCAGGCATTACCTGCTAAGCCACAGCGCCGGCCTCAGTTGTGGGCTTTTCATTTGTGACCTTCATTATTTTGAGGTAGTTTCTTTCACTTTCTGGTTTGTTGAGTATGAATCAGGGAAGCGTCTTGAATCTTGTCAAATGCTTTCTCTACACTAGTGAGAGGTTTTATAGTTCTTCTGTTCTGAACTCATGGAGTCTACAATGTTCCAGTTGTTTCTGTGAGTGTAACCCATGGAATAGGTTTAGGAAATCATGGTGAGAAGTCTTGGCCTATGAGGCCTTCAAATGCATAGATATTCTGTAAGGTAAATTCATGCAAACTGATAACTTTTTCATTAAAACAAAGAAAAGTTGTAAAATTTTACAAAGTTTCTTAAAAGAATAGCTCATTTGCCATTTTTACACAATTAAAATAAATGAAGAATGGCTATTAGAAAGGAACCTCAGTATGATTTGCCTCTGGCCTATTGATAACACCTCCCTTGCTCAATGGCCATGTCTTGGACAAACAGAATTGTTAACTTCCTGACCATAAAGAAAGTACAAGAATGGGTGATTGGTCCCCTTTAGAATGTAAGAAAGGATACCTCGGTATATAGAATAAGTCAAAATTCATTATTCTACTGGCCAAGGTAGCATATATCCACTCCAAAATGTCATTAACTTTTTTTAAATATTGAACCTCCTGAAAGCTTAAAAAGTGAAACTCGTCAAAGAGTGCCCATTTATTTTTGAAAATAGAAAATAGTCAATACTTTGCTTAGTACTGGAGGACTGCAGAAATTGTAACACTCCATCAATTTCCGTTTTCCTACTTAATGTTTCTGTTGATTCATGCGGTGCCATTGAGAGATGGCTTTTCTCAATGCTACCTTATAACTCAGCTTCCCTTTCCAATTACATGGGGCCTCCCGAAGTTGCATCTTAGTGTGAGCTCTTGCTTTTGATGGTCAGTTCCCATAAATCATTAGTCTCTACTTGTCTGCCCTTGTCTCGGGCAGTATATAGATGGAGTTCTATAAGTGCTTAGATCTGGCTTTAAAGAGTTGCCGCCTTGGGATTTGAGATGGCCAGGTTGTATATCACCACTCCTTTGCTTACCTAAAAGCTATAAGTCATAAGTTAACCATGTCATTCTGTTTGCCATCTTCCTATAAATTAGTAGTTGTTGTCCTCCAGGTAAACACATTATCTAGCTGGTGCTCAAAGATTTCAGAAGTCCTTGCATCTCTAAATGGTTCTTTCTGGGGACTCTCTACTGGTAGGTAGCCATAAGACTTGCTGTGCAGCCGATACCCACCTTCTGTCCTTTATTTTTTCCACAGTGCTGATCTGATCACTACCCAAGTTATTGGTCTTTCATTTTAATGTCTTTCTCCCCACATTAGGATATTAAAATCAGAAAGAGTAGTATTTTTGTTAGTCTGTTCACTGCTATAAATCCAAACCTAGAACAGTGCTGAACGAATGTTTCCTAAAGGGGAGGACTAAGCAGAGCTTAAAGTGTTATTCTTTAACCTGCAGTATAAATGTGTGATATTGTAAATATTGAAAAGGCATGTCCCATCACTCATCTCCATTTAAAAGATATCTTACGCGATGGGCATTTCTTCTGGATGTTAAGATACCCGTTATGATGCTACGTCCCACATCAAAGAATCAGGGTTCACTTTCGAGGTCAGAGTCTGATTCCAGCTTCCAAATTATTTGCACTTTGAGAGGCAGCAGTGGTAGCCAAATTGATTTGATTGCTGTAACTCACATGGGAGACTTAAGTTGGTTTTCTAGCTCCCAGTTCCAGCCCCCAAGTTTCAGGCATTTGAGGATTGAACCTGAGGATGAGAACTTTCTTTGTCTTTCTCTTTGTCTCTTTGCCTCTCAGAAAAATAAATGAGAATTTTTTTTTAAAAAAGACATCTTACAAGGTCATTTCTGTTTTTTTTAAGATTATATTTATTTACTTGAGAGGTAGAGTTATAGACAGAGAGAGGGAGAGAGAAAAGACAGAGAGAAAAGTCTTCCATCTGCTGGTTCACTCCCCAAGTGGCCACAATGGCCAGAGCTGGGCCAATCCAAAGCCAGGAGCCAGGAGTTTCTTCCGATCTCTCATGTGGGTGCAGGGACCCAAAGACTTGGGCCATCCTCCACTGCTTTCTCAGGCCATTAGCAGAGAACTGGATTGGAACAGTAACACTGGGACACATACCAGTGCCCATATGGGTGCCCATTGCAGGCATTGGTGCTAAGGTTATTTCTTAATTTAAAATATCTTTGTGGAAAATTTCCTTCTTTATTTTCTGAAAAACAATTTTTGTTTTTTAAAAATCCACACAGGCAAACTCCCTCCTTCTCAACCTGTTGTAATAGTTTCACAGTTCATTGTATTTTTAACCTAAGCACTTCCTTTAGAGTTATAAATGTTTGATACGTATTGCAAAATTAGAATGTATCTTTAGTGTACTATATTAAGAATTTTAACTCATACATAGTAGGAAAAGTAGTAATTCTTCTACTAAAACTTTGAGTCAAAAGCAACTCAATATCTATAGCTTAGAATCAATGGGGCACTGATTAGGATTTTTTGCTAAGCAATTTTGCCATGAAACATTGAAAATGATACATAATACTTTTGTTTTGCACTGTTCTGTCTACATTTTGACATTGTTTTTCCTTTTTTAACATACGTTATAGCATTTAGACTTGTAAGAAATCTTAAATGCTTAGATAGTTAAATTAGAATTTAATTCGAAGAATATTAAGGTGTATTTTGTTTGACTCTTTGAATTTTAGTAATTGCAGAAGTCTTTATTGTATATATTGTATATATATATATCATGAGGAAGAATTGTTTTACAATCTGACAATCTAAGGGATTCTTAGATCTGTTTGGGAGACAAAAACAGAGCCATGGTGTACTTGGTGGGAGACTATAAAATATTCCATGTATTTTAAAAACACATAATACAGTTTTCTAAGGAACACGTGGATGTCATCATTGATTTTATGCTACACACACATGATGCTGGTGTTTTGAAAGTTTGACACACTGCCTAGAGCTCACTCCGTTGTATTTTCCATTTGATTGACTTGAGTTTAAAAAGCAACCGTATATTGGTAAGCAAGATATGTGCTTTGATTTGGTGACGTAGGGGTGGTTTGTTTCTTTTCTCTTTCAGGGGGATGTTTCTGGATACGATTCTCCCCTCCCGCGATGATAATGGCATACGTCCCGCCATCGGTCAACGCACGCGTTTAAGTAAAGGAGATATTGCACAGGCAAGAAAGCTGTATCGATGTCCAGGTATTGCTCTCTGCAAACACAGGCACGTGGCTGAGCTGGGCTGTGCTGGGCTGTGCTGGGCTGTGCTCTTGCTGATGGACAAGCCATGGTTTACCCGGCTGTTTACTTGTCTCTCTCCTTGCTGACAAGTGACATGCAAAGTTCCAAGCAATCATGGGATGAGCGAGGAGGGAACTCTGGGATACTCATCGCTACAAATCAAAACAAGCTGTTAGAATTCAGATTTCAAGAGCTGGGGCAATACGCATTGTTTTCTTTTAATTTCATGAGTAAAAGAGCAAAATAGAATGGTTATTTGATAGTTACTAAGGAGTTGCATGATTTTCTAATCAAGTGCTGAGTTTCCTTGCCAATAGAGAAAGAATATCCTTTATTTGAACTGCAAAATTGGTTCCTGAATGACCTTTTCTTTCAAGTCCCTTCCTTAATGGTATATACATGAAAATTTTGGCAGTAGGTATTTATAACCCTGCTCAAAAAAAAAAAAAAAAGTTCTCACGAAGTTACTGGTGAGCCACTGTGTATTTTGCTACTGAATGAAGTTTTGAAGAAAGGATGAATGAAAGAGTCTTGGTGATTGTTTGCAGCCTTGTTGCTTCCGTTGAGGAACCGTGTGTTGTTTTGTTTTTGTTTTCCTCTTCATACTATTTGTTGAACTCTTTTACTTAGTGTAGGGTTAGCTATATAATCACCAAGTAAACTGAAAGTAAATCTTTGTAAAAATTAAGAGTGGGAATGTGAGAGGGAGGAGGAAGGGTTGGAGCATGGCGGGGTGGGGGTGGGGGGATGTGTCACTATGTTCCTAAATCTGTATATATGAAATGCATGAACCTTGTATAACTTAAATACAATTTTAAAAAATATATTTATAAAACAAGAATATTCTAAGGGAACACCAGTACATTGATGGTTCAAGGAAGAAAAGGGATTCTGCTGCAAATTTGCTATGTTGTGAGTTCTGTTCACATCCTGAGTAGTGATCATCTTTGAAAGAGCAGACGTGAAAGATTCAATACAGTTTTCCCAAACTAAATTTCCAAAGAAACCCCCTTTACCTAACACTAACAGCATTCACATTTGGAAATATTTCTAGATCACTAAGGTTGCAGAAGGTAAAATAACTATAACAGTTTTAATTTCCTGCTAGTTTAATAATGTTTGCAGATTATCAGGGGTGTAATGGTTATATTCATCCCTGAAAATTTACCTTGATGTTGTTTATGTATTGAGTGATAGGGAAGCTCTTATGTTCATTACACTTATTACGAGTCTGGTGTGAGTCTGGGAAGATATGCCCTCAGGGGATAGGAGAAAGCAAGCTGATTCATTCACAACAATTTAATATGTGCTCCTTGACATATGGGGTAGTATGCTTTTGTTGAGCAGTTCAGGTTTCAGATGCAAGCAAGAAAAAGTGAGTTGGCTGGATAGTCACAGGAAATAGCTAGGAAGTTGGTCATTCAGTATGATGTGATTATTTAATTCATTGATTCAGCCTGGTGAATTTAGTAAACATTTCTGCTGAGAAAAGAGGTTTCCACTCCCTCAAGATCAAATTGGCTACAGTAAATTATAAGATATTACGGCTTTCCCAATTATCTTGTAATGGTTCATTTTCTTCTAATTTAGGTCTATTAAGTTTTCAGAAGGACAGTTAACTTTTTTTTAAATGTAAAGTTTATTTAAGGCCTTTTACATCTTAGTGATTCAATACTGAAAGTAAGTTTTAAAATTTTTTCTTTTGTACATAATCCTATCTGTAGTCATCTGACTGCTTACCTATAGAATTTTGTCCTATATCTAATAATACTTAGTATTCATAGATTTATTTACATCATGGATACTTAAATTGGATTCATACTTGTATAAATATCTTTTAAATGTTTTATGTAGGTTTATAAAATATACAGGCACATGCAGTATTTCTTTAATTTTTTTAAATTCATATTTCCATAGGAAAAACACACTTGTAAGAGAATGGCACCACTATGAAAAAGTCAGGGGTGATTCTTGACTAATTTTTAGCAACATTTAGCGTGTGATGTTTTTAATCGTTTAGAAAGAGAAAGGTTTTACTATTAGTAATTTAATTGCTACAATTAAATAACTGACCACTTTGCATGTAAACAATTTTGCTTGTCTCTCTCCATGTATGCATTCAGACATCACACTTAAAAATCACACTGGAGATTCATTTGAGCATTAAATTGTAGGAAAGTTAATATGAATCAAAAATAATCAAATTGTATTAATTTAAATTTCAGCCAGTGACTCTTAAATATTTCCATTATTAACAGAAAGAAAATTAGAAGTGTGGTTTCTAATTGAGATTTTCATGATATAAATGCACAAATGGGTCATTTTCTTATTCAAACCAGAGTAAATATTCATGTATACATTACTTTATTTAACATAGTAAAAGCACAGTCATGAAAGCACTATTCTCTGTGACAAAAGATGTCTGTATTTCTAAAGCAGAATTAAAAGCCAGTTGCTGTTATAGCTTATGAATTACATGGAGTAAAGGAAAGTTACGGGATTTTTTTTTTTGAATGAAGATAAATTAGCTTTTAATTCACCAAATCTTTGAGAATGACATTTTTTTCTCAATTCTCACTGAACAATTCTCCCCCATTGTTTTCCATTTTTCCTTCTCTCTAAATCTCTGCACCCGTCTGTCTCATTTCCTAATGTAGTTAAATTTAAACCCCACACATAGTTGTATATTTAAAGTTTCCATCCCTTAAGTGGGGAGCACCGCTGGTGATTAGGACAATGGCAGTGGTGTCTGTAGACTCACCATACACCAATGAAGTTTAGCAACATCATCAATGGAATGAGGTGAAAGATACGTGATTATACACAGAAGTCTAAATAGGACAACTTCCTTTTTATTTTAAAGAATCATTTATTTATTTGAAAGGCTGAGTCACAGAGAGGCAGAGGCAGAGGCAGAGGCAGAGAGAGAGAGAGAGAGAGGTCCTCCATCCATTGGTTCACTCCCCAGGCAGACAAAATATCTGCAGCTGCACCAATCCAAAGCCAGGAGCCAGGAATTTCTTTCAGGTCTCCTACTTGGGTGCAGGCCATAGCAGAGAGCTGGATTGGAAGTGGAGCAGCAGGGACTCGAACTGACGCCCATATGGGATGCTGGCACTACAGGCGGCAGCTTTACTCGCTAAGCCACAGTGCTGGCCCCAGGACAACTTCTTTAAGGATTACACAGGAGGAGATTAAGACTTTACGAGGTTGGGGATGTTGTTTAGGGTGCAGCAGGTTAAGCCGCCGCCTGCAGTGCCAGCATCCCATATAGGCACCGGTTTGAGTCCCAGCTGCTCCACTTCCAATCCAGCTCCCTGCTAATGAACGTGGGAAAGCAGTGGAGGATAGCCCAAGTACTCGGGTCCCTGCACCTATGTGGGAGACCTAGAAGAAGCTCCTGGCTTCACCCTTGCCCAGCACTGGTTGTTGTGACCATTGGGTAGTGAATCAGTAGAAGATTTCTCTGTGTCTCTCCTCTCTATATAACTCTGCATCTCAAATAAATAAATTAATTTAAAAAATTCACAAGGTTTCCCAAAAGAAATGAAATCAGCATTTGAAAGAGTTATCTGTACCCCATATCTTTGGCAGCTCAATTCACAATAGCTAAGATATGGAGTCAACCAGATGTCCATCAGCTGAGGACCAGATAAAGAAATTGTGATACACACCCACACCCACACACACACAAGCACACTCACACACACACACGCACACACCCACACCCACACCCACACACTCACGCACACACACGGTATGGAATACTACTCAGCCATAAAAAGAATGGAGCCCTATCTTTTCCAGCAAAGTGGATGCGATTGGAGACCATTATGCTTAGTGAAATAAGCCAGTCTCCAAAAGACGAAATTATATGTTTGCCCTTATTTGTGGTAACCGATTTATATGGAGTACAAAAAATGTTATGTGTATGAGTGAATTTGACATTTTGAGATTTGATTCTTGTTTATAACCCTTGTCTATATTCTTGAGGAACAGTGTTTTTTATTGATCCCTGATCTGCTCCCTTTGAGCCTTATTTCTGAAAGAGAAAACTGTATTCACTCTAGGGAGTTCATTTGACTTGTCCAAGCTGCTTCTGGCTGGAGTCCAGTAAGCTATTTTATCTTGCCCCTTTTGTTCTAATCTCTCTCTGAAAAGCCATTTAATAATATCAGTCTGATTGGCAAGGTTTGTATAGTCCTTATCCTAAGCACTAAAAGGTGTAAATTTTTCTAACTAGCCTTTTTATATTGCCAATGGAATCTGTTTAGGAAGTCAATATCTTAATTGTGCCGACTAAAGTTCATTGATTCTGTCTTTCCCTGGAGACTTGTAGATAGCCAGTCCCTTGAACTTTTGATCTGTCTTTCTCCATGATTTTTTACTCTGTAGCAATCTAAGACTAGGTTTTTTTTTTTTTTTTTTTTTTTTTAATTTTTTGACAGGCAGAGTGGACAGTGAGAGAGAGAGAGACAGAGAGAAAGGTCTTCCTTTTGCCATTGGTTCACCCTCCAATGGCCACTGCGGCCGGCGCGCCATGGCCGGCGCACCGCGCTGATCCGATGGCAGAAGCCAGGTACTTCTCCTGGTCTCCCATGGGGTGCAGGGCCCAAGCACTTGGGCCATCCTCCACTGCACTCCCTGGCCACAGCAGAGAGCTGGCCTGGAAGATAAGTTTTTAGTAAGCAAATGACATCAGTTGCATCAACTTAACTTTGCAACCAAGACTCCTAACCAAGAACTGAATGTGCATGTTTCTAGAAACTCCCTCAATCATAGGTTCTAAAGAAACTATGATTGATTTGAAATTGATACTTACATTTGCCATCAGAAATAAAATATTTACATAATTGTGATCTATAATTTCATATTGTTATTTTTTGGGAAAAGATGCAATGTATCTATACAAAGTAGCATAATATGAAGCCACCAAATATTTTTCAAGAGCTTTTGATTTGTAACTGAAGTATGATTCTGTTAGCAACCTTAGTCAAAAGCCAGCATTTTGCTTCTGTTGTCAAAGTTCTAAGGATTGGATTTTAGAAACCTATCTTTATTACATTTTCTGCTTCTAGGACTCTATATTTTATGTTAATATAAGGTCAACTTTGTTCCTCCATGGCAGTTGGCATTTAAACTAGAAGATCAAAAACAAGATAGGAAACTTCCAAATGTGTATGTGTTTATGAGTGTGTGTGTGTGTTCTGAAAGTTCAAATATTAACTGTTAGCAGTCGAACCAGATTATTCTCAGTTTTTGGTGAAATTTGATGATTTACATGTTTCCAATGTAGCTGACTTTTTTCCACATCCGGGAGGAAATTGAAAATATTTGCTCATCATTGGAAAGCTTCCTTTCAAATGCAAGAGGAAAGCCACTGAGTGAGCTTTGGTGTCTGTATGCTAGCTTTGCTGTCTGTGTTGTAAGAAGGAATTCTTAAGCAGGCACATGAACTGAATCCTTGGTGGGTACTATGGGGGAAAATGCAGAATGAAACTCGATAACAGGCAGTATTCCCCATTTGTACAGATGTAAACACCAAGTTAAGAGGAGAAAAACAGAAATGATTTCCCAGCTACAGCTGAAGGATAATGTAATGTTACCTCGGTATTTACAAGTGGAGAAAATGTCTGGAAACTTCATGGGAAGAATCTGAAATCTAATAGTGATCTAATACATTTTGATAATCAAACTTTGAGGATTACTGGCTAAGAAAGAAAAGAATGATATGTATTTTGCTCAGATATTTGAGAAATTATTGAAAATATTTGGAATAATAAAATTGGATGAAGGGAAAGACAAAGAAAGAAAAAAGGAAAAACATATATAAGAAAGACAAAAATAGATGAACAATTCTATTGAACAAAACCAATTTATGCCATAACCTATTGATTTACCTTAAAAAAATAAACAGCATATCTTTATTTTCTTGTCCTTGGGAAATTTCCATGTGGGTAATAAAAAAAATACATGTTAATGTGATTTGAAACCAATGTTGATGTACAGTTTTATTGGTGATCACTGTGGTACCAGACATAAGATGCCATTAGAAATACAAAAATTTTGTGGAAATAGGAATTAGAAGACACTTATTTTCATGTAATTTTTTGAAATACATGAAGTTTCTAAAAAATATACAATTAGCGTGATTAAACTTTTTGAGCTCCTCATATGCATACATTTCAACAATTTTTCTTCCAAAATATATTTTTACTTCCATTTCCATGAAGTTTTTGAACACTTTTCATATTTGTGGTGATATTATCTCTTCATTCTGCGAAGGAGTAAACTAGTCCAAGGTTGATTTACCATTATTAATACTTAGATTTCTGTTAAATTTTTTGTTCAACAAAGGGGAGAAGCATGCTTTTTGACACAGAATTGGTAGATTCTTCTAGAATATGGATTCAAGGTTGATTCAGTGATATCATCCCAACACTCTTAAATCCTTGAGAATTACCTCATATTCAGCTTTTTCATCTGTTGCAAAGTGTCTTTTAATATTGTATGAACTATTTTTTGTAATGGAAGCATTTCAAATACCCATAATTTGTTGCTTTTAGCCAAAGTCCATTTCAGTTTCTAGAGTAAAGAGTAGGAGTCATAAACTTATGATTATAAAATAAACTGAAAGTATATCATTGTAAAAATTAAAAGGAAGCATAGAAATGCAGGAGGAAGGGTGGGAGCGTGGGCAGGAGGGTAGAGTGGGACGTATCACTATGCTCCTAAATCTGTGTATATGAAATACATGAAATTTGTTCACCTTATGTAAATAAAAAATTATATATATGAAAAGTAGAATAGAGTTAGAGCAAATATTTTCCAAATCATCAGTAAGTGCATCCTTTGTGTAACTTGGATCCTCCTTCTGGTATAATCAAGTAAAACTGAAAAGTAATTATTTGAAAGTGAAGTCTTTTTATCAAGTTGTAAGATTGTCTTTCCTAGAATTGCAGCATCATACTAACAAAGCACAGAATAAAAGGTCATGTACAATAGCTTTGAACTTGGAAGGTCTTTGAATCCATGTTCTTGGAGCTACAGAAGCACAGTGACATCTGCCTTTGATTATAGTTAGATGAATAAATATGAATCCTAGGCTGTATTTAAAACATTTCTACATACACAATGATATTATGTTCTGGGAAATGGCACACAGTGGTTATTTTTAACATAATTATAGATGTCTGACTGGTCATCTTTGAAATAAATTATTAAAAAGAAGACCTTCGTGGAAAAATCAGAATTTTTGGTTTAGGCATGTTTATCCTGGGAAAATTCAAAATAAACTATTTGACTAAAGAGTTCTATTTTAGAATTGTTCACATTTTTATACAAATTGGGTTAATTGCTAAAATATTGGTTTATTCAGTTCTTAACACTGTGCTTCTACTGACATTGTCAACTACAAATGAGAATGTGACAACATGTTTTCCAGGTGTGTGTGTGAAGAAAAGATGTTAGGGCGATGCTAATAAAGAAAAGAGAAGGAATTAGCCGTGAACACACTTTCACCGTAGACCTGGGCTCCTCACTTCCAAAAATCACATCATCATGTAGAATTACAATCATTTTTACTCTGTGTGTTTTCCCCTCTGTTTTGCAGATTGTTTTAAATTTCACCACGATGGACTTATACAAGAGCAGTCTGTGCTGGTATGACTACATTGAAGTGAGAGATGGGTACTGGAGGAAGTCACCCCTCCTTGGTAAGACACTGTTTGCCTGCTGCATTGTTGTGCATGCTATCTGACCTGTCTAAAGAAAGTTGATTCTTCCCAGAGTTGCCTTAGAGATAAAAATATGTGCCATCAGTATTATCTTTAGTTTCAGTATACTTTTTTCAACCATACACAAAATATTCAGAAACAAATCACTGATTAAATTCATCATTTTTTAAAGTTAATCAGTCAACCAGATGGAGTTTAAAAGAGCATATATTGTGCAGCAGATTTGCTTCTGAACATGATTGACAATGGCTTTCCCATGAATTGTAACGACTGTGGCTAGCTTGAACAATGTCTTTGCATTTTAAATTTAAGATTCATAGCTTGGGGCTGGTGGTTGGCCTAGCAATTAAGATGCCTAAAGGGATGCCCACATACCACATCAATGTGGGCTGGGTGAGTCCTGGCACCATGTTCAATTCTAGCCTCCTGCGAGGTGCACCCTGGGAGGCAGCAGGTGATTGTTCAAATAGGTGGGTCCCTACCAGCCATGGAGAGATCTGGATTGAGTTCTGGGCCTGTGGCTTTAGCATAGCCTAGCCCGGGCTGTTGCCAGCCTTTGGAGAGCTCTCTTGGTCTGCCTGTCTCTATCTGTCTATTTATCTTCTCTCTGTCTCTCCACCTCTCGATAAATAAATAAAATTGAACGCAGTTTTGATGAAGAAATGGACACATTCCTTGTGTATGGGCTGTTTGTGTGTGTTTTGCTCATGTAATCCAGTGAGCTGTCAGGTACATGTAGGGCAGGTGGTTTCCCAAAACAAGCAGATTCCGTGTTCCTGAAACTTCTCAGACAGCTTTTCTGTGGCTGAAAAGAGGCATTTATAGTCTGCCTCATAAACCGTAGCTCAGATTTGGTGCTCACCAAAGTCTGCCACCCACGTTTAACCACAGACCGCACTGTTAACTTGCATGCGGCAGCTTCTGTTGCCTCTGTATTACTTAAAGGTGAGAGCCGTATGAGCACACAAGTGTCTTCTCTATCCGGATCTCGTTTCTAGGCATTGTGACTTCTCCTTTATTTTTAGAAGCAGCTGTGCTCAGTTGAGTTGTGTGCTATGCAGATCTTTTTCTAAAACCTGCTGAGTGGACACTCTTACATTAAAAGTGACAGCAACCTGAGTAAGTCCAAGAGGAAATGTTTAAAAATAAGGGAAGAGGAAGGCTTGAACAAATGCGGCTAAGTTGCATTGAGGGAAGCGTTATCTTTACATTTAATTTTGCAGCCTGGGTGAAGCAGTTTGTTACATAGGGATGTGCCTTCAGAAGGAAACATTTCATTGAGCTCATATTGGAAAATCAGACGCAAATACAAAATGTGAGAAAGCACTTGTTTAGAGGAGCGTCTTTATGGCAGGGTTCAGCGTAGAGTGGTCCACCGGACTGGCTCAGTGTGTTTGTTTTCATGGGCAAGTCCTTCCCCACCTTTTCTTCCTGGGCCTTGCTCTGAGGGGTGTATTCCTTGGACTGCTGGCTCAGAATCATCCGGAAAGGCATTAGGATTGTGGAAACTCGGGTCCCACTGCGTACCTCTGAAGCAGACTGAACTTTGTCAGTTTCCCAGCCATTCGCACGCACACTCTAAGAAGTACTGCTTGGTGCTGCCTGCCTCGGATGGACTGTGCAATTTATGATGTGTTTTTTCACTAGCTATTAGTGAGGTTTGCTTTGTTCAAGTCAGCCAGCATTTCTCGTATGTTAAAACTACGTATGGCATTTTTCCAGAACAAAGAATATGGATAACAATTAATATGTGTATAGAATTATTTCATATAAATTGTCACATTTAACCATTTTGTCATCATGTGGAAGCCTAGAGCACAGTGACAGACATAATGTAAGTAATACAAATGTGGAGGGAAGAGTGAGAGAAATGATAGGTCTTATATGTGTGTTTTCTGTCCAACTTATCTGTGACTACACAGTTAGAAAAGATTGTAACTTACAGCTGAGAGTTCTGCCTCTCTGCCCACATGGCTAGAGATGATGGCTCTGTGGGTAGGATGGAAGGTGAGCATTGCTATTAGACACGGGAGGTAGCCCAGGGGTTTCTAGAGGAGCGATCTTTAAACGTGTCTGGACAAGGAAATCCACTTCAAGGTGAGAACACAGCCTTGGCCAAGTCATCCCATGCTAAGGAGCAGATGAAGAATTCGACCCAGCGTCTTGGGGTGATGTGCACCTGTTTCTGTTGTCCATCGAGTAAATTCCCTACCTCCGTACCCCACGTGGCCTCTTACAACTGTGTTTTCTGAACAGCCTGTCTTAATTCTGTATGCCAGTGGTACAGACATGAGTCGGTCAATGTGATAATTCCAAAGTACACATCTTTTAATTCTGTTGTTTATGAACTTTCGGAGCTTCCTTGTATAGACTTTGCAATTATCATGAAAATCCATGATCATACTGAGTCATATTTAGGAATCTCTCTTTATTCCTTTCCTTCTTTTAGGTAGATTCTGTGGGGACAAAGTGCCAGAAGTTCTCGCCTCTACAGACAGCAGGATGTGGATCGAGTTTCGTAGCAGCAGTAATTGGGTAGGAAAAGGCTTTGCCGCTGTCTATGAAGGCAAGTCCCACTGGATCGCAGAGATCTGTCCATCTTAGATCTCACAACAGAAGTGTCTGCTCTTTCAGCTTCATTAGAATGATATTTAAGTCATGCTTCTAAATTACTAAATTCTCTGAACCTGTTTCATAATATTCACAAGGATGATTTGAATAAAAATACTCCATAAATTTAAAGTGCGAGAACAACTCATTGTGACCCATTATCAATGTCACAGTAACTTCTAAATGTGCTTAGGGGTATGTGAAAGAATACACATGACACAAGAGTTCTTAAACTTCGTTTGACAATAACGTTAAAATGTTATGAAGGCATTCTTGCTTTTCTCTGGGCTGATTCGCTGGGCTGCTGAAGGGCTCTATTCTAGGAAACTGCAACAGAGAGGAATTGTGTGCACATTTCTGGAGTGTGCTTTGTCTAAACAAGAGGCAGCATTCAAGGAAGGATTTATTAGATGCTTTGTTCTGCACTTCTCTGACACGGTACACTGGCATCGTGCCTCCTGGCTTCCAGAACAGCTCCTCTCTTGCCAGGTTGTGGGTGGAGGAGACCCCGGCACACGCGTTTAGGTGATTTCAAAGACGATTTCTGCTTCCCTTAAGCCTTAAGTCGACGGAAGCGTTTTGTCTTCAGAATGACGCACACAGCAGCGAAGCGGCTTGCTGGGCTGGGGCCACAGATGTTGAGCACATGGCAATGGCTCCCTGCAGAGGCCCCGGGAGTGCCGCTCTGGGGAAGACGTCCATTCTGATGAGCTGTTCACCTGTGGTCCAAACGAGGGAATGAGCCAAATCGGAGAAGCACCGCACAAGCTCACATGGAATTCATTTACCAAATCCCCGAAGGATTTTAAAAGTTTTAAAAAAGAAGTGTTCATTTTGGTGAATATATGAAATAACAGTGATTAAAAATTGAATAGTCCTTGGCCGATTGTTATCTGACATTTACAGTGAAGTGACATTTTTTTTAACCGTATAAATTTTTACAACAGCGCAACCAGTCAACTTTGATTTTTATAACCTGATAATTTTATGTACTCAGCTCCAGGAACTGAACTTAAACATCACCTTAGAAGGAAAGGGAAGTGGAGGGGCACGTCGTCGAGGTTTATTTATTTGCTTGTTTTTTTTTTGCTTACTTCAGCCATCTGTGGAGGTGAGATACGGAAAAATGAAGGGCAGATTCAGTCTCCGAATTACCCTGACGACTACAGACCCATGAAGGAATGCGTGTGGCGAATAATGGTGTCGGAGAGCTACCACGTGGGACTGACCTTTCAGGCTTTTGAGGTAAAGTCTTTTAGGCGAACTCTACTGGGCGTATTCTCCATAAATGACAGTGCCATGTAAGGGACTCCTCATTAAGTCAGCAAAGAACCGGAGAATCGGCCTTTTAATCAGCGAAGAAGCCAAGGACTGCCTATAAAATGCAAGATCAAGAGGGACAGGATTTTTTCCTTTCCTCTCCTCGTAGACATTTCCAAGAAGATTAAAGTGCGTTTACATTATCTGCTCTATTTGAATCGGAATGTTTTGAACTACTGACAATCTTTTTTTTTTTTTTTTTTTGACAAATGCGTGGAGTTGTTTCATGAGACTCTTGGAGGGTCCATTACGTGATAGAATTTTTATTTCTCTTCTAAACTAAGAGGTTAAAAGGTAGACTGTCTTTTTGTTGGGGGGGGGGGACCCAGTTTTTGTATTTTTTTAACCATCACACAGATAAGTGTTTATATCAGAAATCAAGATTCTGAGCTGCTTTCAGCTTCATTAGGGAAGCTGGAGGCCTGGGCAGTCCAGGCACCACCCCCACGAGCCCACAGAGGCTCACACCTGCCTGCACGCCTGTGCACTATCTTTCTTTTTTTTTTTTTTTAAATAAAATATATTCATTTATTTGAAAATCAGACTTACAGTGAGAGGGAGAGCTGGAGGAAGACAGAGATCTTCCATTTGCTGCTTCACTCCCTAGATGGCCGCAATGGGCCAGACTGAAGCCAGTAGCCAGGAGCTTCTTCCGGATCTCCCATGTGGGTGCAGAGGCCCAAGGACTTGGGCCGTCCTCTGCTGCTTTTTCAGGCCGTTAGCCGGAAACTTGATTGGAGGTGGAATAACTGGGACACAAATCGGTGCCCATCCGGGATGCTGGCCTGGAGGTGGCCTTTACCCGCTACACCACAATACCAGCCCCATGTGCACTGTGTTTCTTTGGCACTGGCCTCGGCACCTTTATAGGTACCATATAATTTCTCATACCTATTTCCTTTATCATGGAATAACATTTTCTGCCTTGATCGTGATGTTCTATTTTATGCTCCTAACCACTTTGCACATCTAAAAATCTTGATTTTAAGGTTATTTGATTCACATTTAATTTTTTTTTATTTTTATGGACTCGTGGGATAACAAACATTGTTCAAATAGACCTGTGTGTTATTAAAAGTGAAATGAAACTGCATAGATGATTTCACCTCTAATTTAGACTAAAAGAACCAGTTCACTGAAAATTATCTAACCAATGGCTATTACCTGTGTTTTGTGATATCTTAAAGATTAATAAATTAGCTGTCTTTCAATAGATCATATAGTATTTTCTGAGATTTTCCTGTTATCTAAGAGACAGACGGAGGAAGTGTCAGCAATCCCATCTGTTGGTTTCCTCCCACGTGCTCCCCGTGGCCCCTCTCTGGGGCTGCAGCCAAGAGTCTAAAATTCAATACAGGTCCCTGTTATGGGTGGCAGACACCCAGTTACTTAAGCCATCATTGCTGCCTCCCAGGGTCCACATTAGCAAGAAGTGGAGTCAGGAATCAGAGCTGGAAATCAAACTCATGTCTCTCATATTGGCTGGGAACATTTTAACTAGTGTCTTCCCCACCAGGCCGAATCCCTGCCCCTCTAAATATTTTCTTATTTGTTCTAATAGGGCATCAGTTGCCTTGTTTAACTTTGTCTGTTTTCTCTGTCACTTCATTTTTATTTATTTAATGTTTTCAATATGCAGATTATATATTTAAAATACATAATTAAAGAAAATGTCCTCACACCTTCTTGGAGTTCTGTGGTTTTGTCTCACAAAATATAGCTCTTCCTTACTGATCCCAGTCTTTTCCACTCCTCACAAACAGTTTCCAGCTTTGCAGTTTTGTTTAAATTGAATTCCCACATACATTCGTTCAAGTGGGATTAAGTTTGAGGTTCTTGTCAACATCGCCGCGCAGTCTGATTTGGCGATATTTCCCTTCTCTGTGGTACTCTTTCTCTGCAGATAAAAGGCCAGTAAGATAAATGCACCCATCAATCTGCCCGAATACACTGTAAAGAATTCTCTGGCTCTCTGTCGTTTATATCCTCCCGTGAACTTACGTCATAGCTCTACCCTTCCCAGTGCTACTTGGATGTTAGTGTAATTTCAGAAAGAAAACCGGAATAAGTGTCTTTGTGAATGAAGTTTAGACATCTTTGAACAGGAAGAGACACTATTTCGAGGGTGATACACTCTCGCAGTCTCTGCCAATGGCCCTTCTTTCTGGCTTATGAATCTATGTACTTTAAGTAGATTCATGCCGTATTTACTTTTTCTGTGCTGGCTTATTTCACTTAGCATAAGGTTGTCAGAATTCATCCATGCTACTGTAGCATATACCAAAATTCCCTTCCTTCTTATATCATGCCATTTAGGAAGCGCCGTGAGCTTAATGTTTGTGTTCTGCTCAGATTCATAGCTGCCAAGGTACTGTTTTGAGGAGGTGGGCCCTTTAGGAAGTGATGAGATCATGAGGATGGGGCCTCCATAAATGGGATTAGTGCCCTCATGAAAGAGTCCCCGGAGCCTCCGCCACAGCGAGAAGACGCCAATCAGATGCTGAACCCACCAGGGCCTGGATCTCACACTTCCCAACCTCCAGAACTGTGAGCAGTCGGTTTCTACTGGTCACCATCAGCTCACGCCATGCTGTCTTCTTCCAGTGTCCTGGATGGACTAGGACAGGAAATAGTTACTGGATGCATTATTCTTATGACTGATACACTGGCATGAATGTTTTTATGAATATCTCTCACCTCTGAAATTAACTTGGGCAGAGTTTTCGCAATTCCGCGGCAGCATTGTTTGTAAAGAAGCTTCTAGTACTACTAATCTATTTGGGGACTTTTCAGTTGCAGAAATACAGGAGAGAAAGTTTGGGAGAGTGGAAATGTTTATAATAACAACTTCAAAGAAATGTCAATAAAGCAGCAAAGAAGTGAAATAAACTTGGAGCTAACTCTTGTTTAAATTGAATCCCCACATACATGAATTCAAGTGGGATTATGTTTGAGGTACTTGTCAACATTGCTGCACATTCGGATTTGGTGTAACTTTTCCTTATGAAAACCAGAGATATTTAATAGCTTTAACCCTCATTACTGCCAGCTGCAACACTCTAAACTAAGTAAATAAGTTTTTATCTTGGTGCTTGGTAGATTGCTTGAGCAAAATAATCCTTTAATTCCTTTAGCTATTTTTTAATAGGTGATGATAAGTAGACTTTCTGTTGTGAGTGAAAGAAGACCAGATAAGGGGGTTAATGGTTTTCTGCTTGCCATGTACTATTTTTGGGTGTTCAGCTAAGAGTATACATTGGTTAATGAGTGTAAAAGACAAGAGTTAAACAGCTCTTCATGAATTATGGCTCAGGATGTATTTGGACTGTGAGAGATTAGCCCTGGTTAGTTTAAGTAAACCTGCCCAAGGTCATACAGTTGGTAGTGCAGTGATTGAAACCAAGTCTGTGGTCTGTGCACTTCTGTCACCAGGCCCTGGGAGTAGAGAGTAGCATCACATTTTCTCATAGCAGCCAATGCCTTCCACAGTTCACCTACTTGTCATTGCACTCATATGCATGGATATCAGTTAATTCAATTTTTCATAAAGGTTTTGATGCATCCTCATTTGTCAAAGACATTCTTTTTAATTTAGCACTGTTCACATACCACTGAGTGCATACTCTCTGGCTATAGCAGGTTTTCAATAAGATTTTAAATTTATGAGATGAAAAATGCTACATCATGAATTGGCAGCATTTAAATGAATGATTTTATGAAAATAAACCTATCCAAGCAAACCTATAAACCTTCCATGTTGTTGATTTTAACATTTGAGCATATTGTTTCTCCTCTTTCTTGAGTAATTATATATTACTTTTAAGGCTATATTAAATGTCATTAATAAATTTTGAATAAGATAATACATTTTAAATAATTATCTATATATTAACTTTTTCCCATTTGTCCAAAAGATTTTATTTTTTAAATTTGAGAGAGTGAAAAAGATGGACAAACAGAGAGAGACAACTTTCATATGCTGGCTCACTCCCTAGTTGCCTGCAATAGATCCTGAAACCAGGAGCCAGAAATGCAGTAAAGGTCTACCGTGTTTATGGTGGGAACCAAATTACTTGAGCTATCACCTGCTGCCTCTCAGGGTTTGCATTGACAGGAAGCTGGATCCAGGACCAAGAGACAGGGATCAAACCCAGGCAGGCCCAGTGGGTGACACAGGCATCTTAATCACTAAGCTTACATGCATCTTTCCAAAATTTCTTCTGTCAATAACATTATTTCCTAGACTTTACTAGATTTTCCCATTATTAAAACGAATGTAAGCTTGAATGATAAATGCTCATTCATATTGTCTTTATTAGTCATAGTTTTCTTTTATATTCTCTCCAAAAGCAAAAAAGAGTCTTAATATTGTTTGTATAATACGTTACTTAAAATTATATTATCTATAAAGGTAGTATCATTTTTATTGCATTTACTGTATTTTATTGCAGTAATTATATAATAAACCTACATCACAGTAGAATTTTTTTATTGTAGTACATGATGCATAACACGAAATTCAGCATCATAACAAAGTTTAAATGTATTGTTCAGTGGTGTTAAGTATCTTCACATTATTATGCAGTCAATTCCCACAACTCTTTCATTCTGTAAAGCTGAAACTCTGTGCCTATTAAATAATAACTCCTCATTTGTCCCTGCCCTAGTCCCTGGCAACAACTTTCCTTTCAGTTTATGAATTTGAGTACTCTAAGTAAGTCATAGAAGTGGAATAATATAGTATTTATTATTTTGCAACTAGTGTTTTACTTAACATAAGCCTCAAGGTTTAGCCATGTTGTGAAATATATGAGAATTCTCTCCCTTTTTAAGGCTAGCTAATATTCCATTGTGATTTTCTTTGTTCATCTATCCATGGCCCATTGGGTCGCTTCCACATTGTGACTGTTGTGAGTAAGGTTGCT